AACAGTTCATTTTGTGGTCAGGAAAATGGCAATAAATCAATTTCTAACTTTCAAAAAAAAAAAAAAAAATAATAATAATAATAATAAAAAAATAAAAAACATTAATTTCGGCCGGGCCGAACTTTGAATACTCTCCACCATAAGGTAAATGAAACATTTGACCTACAAATACCAATTTTTAGACATATTCTTGGGAAAATTTGGCAAAATTCATCAAAATACTGAATGTCGGGAGGTACCGCTATATGGGGCTATACAAAAACTTGTACCTATACATACAATATTTCGCCACCGGAGCTAGAACCAATTATGTAGTGGCAAAAATCATCAAAATACCGAATATCGGGAGGTACCGTTATAGGGGGAATACATCAAGGTGTGGACCTATACGTACAATGTTTCGCCACATGAACTAGGACCCATTATGACCTACAAATACCAATTTTCAGACAAATCCGTGAAAAAATGTGGCAAAACTCATCAAAAATCCGATTTTCGGGAGGTACCGTTATATGGGGACTATACCAAAACGTGGATCGATATATTTCATTTTCAATACTAACCGTCCTAGACACAATACAAATCGTTCTGCTAAATTTTGAAGCTCTATTTCAAATAACTTGGACTGTATCGTGATTTCAACAGACATACAGACAGACAGACGGACATCGTTAAATTGACATAGAATTTTATGCTGATTATGAATATATATACTTTATGGGGTCTACGACAAATGTTTAGGGATGTTACAAACGGAATAAAAAAGTTAATATACCCTCCTTTTCAAGGTGGAGGGTATAAAAAGGAATTTCCTTCGTTCCTGCGTCACCCAAATAAGTAGTTTATATTAGTACAGCCTCTAACAATTGTTTTAACTCAATAATATCTAAAAACAATATTAGAATCCCGTGAAGAAGAAAATCCAATATTCTAACAACATGATATCATCATCAACAACATCATCATTAAGGGTTTATTTACTTTTGGCTCACACCATGAACCATCACCGTCACCGCAATGATATGCCACCACAATAACGAACGAACAACTGTTGACAGTGTGAAGTTGATGATAGAACAACACACAGCAAACAAACAGTTTGTGGTGATATATATTTAACAAATGTATTAAAGCCACATGTCATCAACGACGACGACGACGACAACACTTCTACCCCAAAATGGGCATCCTTTACCAAAACGCATTTTGAAACCCACACAGATACACAGCATGGATGCAGTATTGGTGGATTACATTCTGCATACATGGTGGCTTGCTGGCTCCTCTCTGTGCCAGAATAAATAACAGCAACAATTGTGACAACACATGTTATTCCATTACCACACGTGGTGTTGAAGGATAGTTTAACTATAGTTTTAGTTTAGAATGCTGCTACACCAACACCAACACCAAATGCAGTCACCAAACATTTTAAGTGAATTGGAGAGAGAACGAGCACGGAGGAGTCTTTGTTAGCTGTATTCGCGGCATTGCGACTTTTGTCACACATTTACACTTTGGGTTATTTATTGGTGTAAACCTGAAAGCTTCATAAATATTCAAGTGAAGTGGTGATAAATTTTGGAATTCAGTATTTCCATACATATTGTCAAGAAAATATTTTCGAAATCAAAGATTCGACGGACTTTTAAAAAATATGATGCGTTTTGAAAGTTATTTTTAAAACAAATATTTTGAAAAAATCGAATATCTAGGTTGTGGAAAATTTTAAGTGAATTTCATATCGCAATATTCCATTCGGCAAATATTGAAAAATGAGCTTGGGGTAAAGCCATTGAAATTCCAAAAAGTGCAAGAACTTACACCGCAACTGAAAGAAAATAGACTCAAACGAGCTAAAGAGTTGCTTTGCTTGGACGAGAGGGGTGAACTGTCGAATTTGGTTTTCTCCGATGAGAAAACATTCGTTGTCCAGCAGTTTGTAAACAAACAAAATGATCGTGTTTACTTGCCAAAGGGTTCAGCTGAAAATGTGCACATTTGGTTGGCTACCAGAAGTCAAGCGCCGACCATGGTGATGGTGTGGGCCGCCATAATAGCCGATGGTCGCTCCCCGCTTTTATTAATCGACCGTGGTGTCAGAATAAATGCCGAACATTATAGCGAAAATATTCTGAAGGGTGTATTGAAGCATTGGGCACGCAAGTATTTTGGCTACAGACCTTGGACATTTCAACAGGACTCAGCATCGCACTAAGCACGCGCCACCCAAGAATGGTTACAAAATGAAGTTCCTCGCTTTATTTCCTGCGCAAATTTCCGGATATCAATCCGTAGGACTATTGTGTCTGGAGTGTTTTGGAAAGCAAGGTTGACACTAAAAAATACCAAAGTGTCGATCACCTCAAGCAAGCGCTTCACCGGGAATGGGCCAACTTACCGCAGAGCAATATTCGGGCAGCGTTTGACGGTTTCATTGGACGTCTGAAGGCCATAATTCGTGCCAAAGGGGACCAATTCGAACAAATCTAAACTTATTCTAAAATTTGATGATTTTTTCCGACAGTTTTTTTTTATCTCAGCCTGTATATGGGAGCCAAAGCTTTATCTGAACCGATTTTCACCAAAATTTGAAGCACTTGCTTTTAAGTTCAATTTCGAAGGAAGTGCCTAAATTCAGTCCATTTAGGGGGGATATTACCCATTTGGTGCTCAATAAACCTTATATCGGATAAAGATATATACGGGAGTTATATATTTTAATCTGATCCGATCTCGATGAAATTTGAAAGAGGTATTTTTGAGTTTCATAAGTTATATGGTAGTAAATTATATCACTCTTGTGGAGTGCGTATTACGTATGTGAGAGACTTCAAACCCCAAATCGGATGAAACATATATATGCGCGCTATAGCTATATCTTGATACATTTGCTTCTAGACTGAATTCGGTCGGATGTTCCAAAATTCTGTTTGTTTGAACTGATATTGGCCATTTGGTGCACAATTAACTCGGTTGAAGCTATTTCTAAATTTGAACCGATTCGCACTAATTTCAATAGGGTTCGTCCTTGGGCCAAACAAATATTGTTTGGAAAATTCCATCTCAATCGGATAAAAAATGCGAACTGCATTTTCCTTACAAAAAACAAAAAAAAAAAAAAAAAAAAAAGACAGACTGACATGCATAAATCGACTCAGAAAGTGATTCAATGAAGATCATCAAAACGAACTATGGGTCTAACTAGCTTCATTCTCTATGTTACAAACAAATGCACAAAGACATACAACCCTACTACAGTGGTACAAAATGGATCAAGTCAGTACAATTTTTTGTATAGAACCTATAGAAGGGTGAACCCCGATTTTAGGCAATGTTACATTTTCCTAATATATTCCATTCAGACATCGGGAGCACCAATTGAAACGTTGTTGCGAAAAGTATAACACGTCCTAACGTATAACACGTCCTAAGAAGCCACGTTAAAGCCCCCACTACAGCTGTCTTCATTACAAGTAAGATATTTTACCAAGATGTTGGATGTTTGAGAAAGAATTCCTTTCGCAAGATATCAATAAGGTACAATATTACCATTTAATTTAGCCATATTTGTGATTCACCTAAGTGGTAGAGGGGCTATTAGAAAGACTACAAAATTTGATTTAAAAAAAAATCCGTACAAGGACCTCCAGATTTACTATTTGGGATTTTTTTTAATGCTTCTCACCCTGCGCCTTGTGAATATTCTATTCAAGGGAATTTAGAGTTAAAATGGTGTTTTTCTGAAAATAGTTTTTTTTTTTAAATACCGTCAACGCTACAATTTGTAATTTTTTTGGAAATACTTAACCAAGGACTATATATTATATAGAAAATATCTTAGTACAAAACCCTGATTTTAACAAGAAAAACATGATGATGCATACTTTTAGGCGTAATAGTATTATAAGACCATGTGATGTATTCATAATATATGCGGCTTGAACCTAATATAAATATTTCTTTAGTAGACAACTCAAAAAAGAAAGATAGTTTAATTTGTTTTGAAATTTGCCCGATTATCTTGTCATAATGAAAAAAGTTGTTATCCCTAACCATACATCATTATTATTATCTACATCATGTGTACAAAAGTCCTGGAAGATTTAATATACTTGGCCAAAACAAAAAAGAAAATATAACAACAATATTTTAAAATAAATCTCAGTTTTAAACCTCAAAAACTCATCAACAATAAGGATATGGACATGCATTGCACAGCACTTCACACACACTCACAATAACATATTTCAACTGCAAATGTATGCAATAATAACAGGACAAATTGCTGGTTTCTCTCCATGGGTGGCTCTGTTGTCTTTTTGTTTCATATTAAAGATTTACAGTAGGTTCTATATAAATGGAAAATAACTAGTAACTTGGCCAAAATAAAAACTACAGAAGGATAAGGACGAAGAATTCATGAAAATCGATTTTGCACCCGGACCTCAGGTTGTCAATGTAAATTATACAGAGCTGACAGAAAAAAAACTTTTTTTTCTTGTAAAAAAACTAAACGTTTAATAATTTTTTTTATTAGAATATGAGTTGCATAATTGACAAATTAAAGTATTCTAGCTTTTTCTCCTCTTAATCTCTGCAGTTTTTCTTTTTAATTTCGAACTGATTGCATCCAAACCGTAGTCAACTGTATGAATAAAATGATGAATTAATCTACTAACCACAAACATATGAATGTGACATTCACATAAAATATGTACATGTGAACGTATATCATCTCCCTTACGCATATATATGTATGTATATTATAAAAGAGAATATATAATGGCTGAATTCTCCTCAAAAAAATAAGGAGAAAAAACAATTACCACACATTTGTGTATGAATGTTGTAATCAATATTTATTAATTGTACAACAATATTAATAGAGTTGTCTTTTTGTTATAATTGAAATTGACACTTGTGTGTTTTTTTTTGTGGGAATGATGAGGGTGAAGGGGAGCACAGGTGGTTTAAAATTATTCGTTATATGAACTTACCCAAATAAGCTTGTTGTGGTTCGGCCATTTGTATGAGAGCTGAATCCTTTTTATTATATAGTATCTTTACACGTTGCACATCGCCATAAACACCTGTATTTGAGAAAAAAAAAAAAAAAAAAAAAAAAAAAAACAGATATAGAAAAAAGAGAAAAGTCAAAAATGAAATTTGATATTGTTATAAGAGTTATAATTTAATGAAATTTATGTGATTTAATATAACAAAATAAATTTCATAATGAATTAAAAAGAAGCTACTAAAATTGAAATAATCTAAAAAAATTAATAATTATATTAAAAAGAAACTATTAAAATTTGTTATCAATTAATCTGCAGAGAAGAAACGGAAAGATTATTGGTTTCAATTTTCTTCAATTAACTAAAACTTTTTTACAAAGAAAAGACGTCTCAACGCCATATAAATGGGTTTCCTTCAATATAAAATTACTTTAAAGACTTTCTATATTAATTCTCCTTAAAAGTTACTTTGCAGCAATATAAACGTTTCAGAAGATTTTTACTTCCACAGAAGATGCTTACAAATGTATTCATTCAATGTGATATATAAAGAACGGCTCGTCTAACAGAATGAACATATCAAAATCCTCCTTTCGAAAAGATCTTTTGAAAAATCCATTTTAGGACAATGCCAGTTGGAAGGCTCTCTCTTTTGTAAGAATGTATCTGTATGTATCTGTATCCCAACAATTTAGTGCATACTTTTCGGCGAAATTGTAAAGAACGTAACAAGGAATAACAAATACGATCTGCAATGATTCTTTTTTATGAAATATGGATAAAAAATTAAGGGTTTTATAGATAGACATCATAAAGGTGACATTCAGACCTATATAACGTACATTTCCGAAAAAATTTTTAGTAAACATTTTAGAGGTTGTACGAAAATTGCAAAAAAAATTGTGCCTATTTTTAGGAGCAATAATAGAAAAAATGTTAATTTAGTTTTGAAGTCTTCAAACTTTTTTCTATTTTTCACATAAAAATTTAAACGTTTCATATTTAGCCCATATTATGTCTCCTTTGAAAAGGTATATTAACATTGTCTTTTTATGATACAAAACGTTTTGAAAAAGAGCTTCTATTTTAAATTTTATAATATATGTGGGTGAGATGAAAAAACTGCAACCAACTTCAGACTGCTGTCATTTCTAAGCCACTCGTCCGACAGCTGTTAAAATTTTTCCAGTGACAGCTCATTATATTGTTTATATTTTGGTGAGAATTTTCCAGAAAAAAAAAATTATTCGTGATGGAATTCAAGCGTTTCTTCATATTTGGCTGGAAAACCACAAGTGGCTATAGTTAGGGGACTCCTGCATTTAAATGTGAATAAATCTTTTGTGTCTCGTATCATCGCTCGTTACCGTGATACTTGTAGCGACGTAAGAAAACAAAAACATCAGCAAAAATGGTTCGATAAGTAAAGAAGCGACTTGATCGAAACCCGCATCGCAGTGGCCGGAAAATGGCTCGTGAGCTGAACATATCGCAATATTCCATTCGGCAAATACATTGAAAAATGAGCTCGGGGTAGAGCCATTGAAATTCCAAAAAGTGCAAGAACTTACACCGCAACAGAAAGAAAATAGACTCAAAAGAGCTAAAGAGTTACAGCTTCGGTTGGCCACCACAGAACTCAAGCGGCGGCCATGGCGATGATGTGGGACGCCATAACAGGCGACGGTCGTTCTGGCATTAGAATAAATGCCGAATATTATCGCGAAAATATTCTGGAGGGGGTATTAAAGCCTTGGGCACGCAAACAATTTGGCCGCAGACCGTGGGCATTTCAACAGGATTCAACACCATCGCACTCAGCTCGCGCCATGGAATGGTTATAAAATGAGGCCCCTTGTTTCATTCCCAGCACATAATGGCCACCAAAATTTCCGGAAACCAATCCGTTGAATTATTGTCCCTGGAGTATTATGGAAAGCAAGGTTGGCACTTAAAAATTCCAAAATGTCGATTACCACAAGCAAGCACTTCGCCGGGAATGGACCAAAATAAAGCAGAGCAACATTCGCGTAGCGTGTGACGGTTTCATTAGCCGTTTGAAGGCCATAATACATGCCAAAGGTGACTGATTCGAACAAATCTTAACTTATTCTAAAACTTAATGCTATTTTCGACATTCAATAAAATTTTAAAAAATGTAAAAATTATGCCGTTGATTTTGTTGCAGTTTTTTTTTATCTCACCCTGTAGAGTGTTTAACATCTAGAGGAATGATTAGAACTGCATAGAACCCATTCGTTTATAACAAAAAAGTTTAAAAACTGACAAGGTTTCAACATTTTACTTCGAGGAGGCTTAAGAGAATAAAATACAATTATAGTTCGACCCATTGCTCAGAGTGTCTAAAATAACGAAACTTTAGCTAATTTCCTTCAGTTTCCTCAATTGTTGTTAAAAACACAATTTTATTTAAAAAAAAAATATCTAAACTTAAATTTCACATAACCTGTCAAGGCTATTTAAATAACTTGGAGGTAAAGGATACAGCAATCAAAAAAGAAAAAATATATATATCAAAAACCGTTTTAACCTCAGCCTCTCTGGAAAATTACGTTTTGGTTTTCTTGTTCTTTGCCTTCATTGCTCTCTCTCTCTGACATTCATTCACTGCATAAAATGTGCAGAATTTATGATTTGCTTCTTATTTGCTTTAAAAAAATTGTTGTTGTTGCTGCTGTGGTCGTCATTTGTAATGATGAGGGTGGTAGATGTAGGCAGGATAAGTCCAAGTGCTTGGACTCACCTTCGCGTTTTGTTTTTTTGAGTGCAGAAATTTATTGATGGTAATAAGTTGCGCGTGGTTGCAGCAAGTTGGGTGAAACGGGTGTGGTGGGTGGCTCGGTTTGTTTGGCCCAGTTTTATGTTAAATAGTCCAGAGTCAGTGCAACTGTATTTTATTGTTTTACTTTTAACAACACAAACTTTCTTTCATAGCCGAAGCTTGTCAAAAAAAAAAAAAAAAACCCTTGACCACATCCGCACAAAATATTGATGCAACGGCAGAAGCATCATACAACGGAAGTTCCATGATGCCAACGACGATGATGATGAAAATTCACCACCACCATCTCTCTTCCTTTCTGCCGACCAACCAACCAACCAAGTCCATTTACCTGGCCACTGTTAAATTATTGATTTTACCGCTTTTCTGCATTAAGAAATCCATTTAAAAAGCAAAAGGAGCAGCTTGTGAAGGAGTATAGATTAAACATAAATTGTATCCTAGATATAAACTTAACATGCCATAGTCGTAAAAATTGCTAAAAGTTTTCGGGAGAAGAATGTCAGAATACGAACATGTTAAGAACTATATATTTTACTGGTCGAGATGCAGCAGCAACAGCAAACGGTAGGAGAAAGGTGGGAGTTGGGGGGCAGGAGAAGTGGACATAGCATAGACCTTTATATGATGAAAACATGTTGCTGTTGCTTTTGTGTTGAGAATATCGAACACAAATTGGCCCCCAAGCACCATGGCCAATGGCTTAAAGTGCAAATTGTGGCCATTTGATGCTATCAATGGTGCCGTTGCACTCACTTCTACCAACAAACCGACTACCAACTTCATTCTTATCAAGGGAATTTTTGTTTTGGGCATAACTTCGATTGCAGTACATTGCAAAAAAGAGTTAAGCAAGTCGGCCAGGTAGCCAAGCAGACATCTAAGGAAAATCTCTAGAAACAAATTGCCAGAATATTTACAATCAAATAAACTGAATTGCAAATTTAAAACAAACAAAATACAAGTCATGAAATAGAAAGAAAATAGATGTAGAAACCGTAACAAGTCGGAAACTTACATGGCATTACTAAAACTAAAACGTCAATACCCTCTTCCATTCCAATGGACAGGGAAAAAATTACAATTGCAGTTGGGAATAGGAGATGGATGGGGCACAGTGTTCCAAGTTCAGCATCGAGACTGATTTATGATCACTAAGGTCGTATTTCCACACAAGAACTCTGGAGGAAATGGCAGAATCAGAATTATCAGAATTATGCAGAATCACTATTCCAATTTTGTTGAGGAATCATAGACAGGTGGAGAAATGGTTTTAGAGCTAAATACAATTTTCCATTGTAGAAGCATTTCATTCATGAAATATCTTCCTAAAGTTAAACGAGGCCAGTTAGAATCGTTCTTAAATATTTCTACAACTACAGCCGACTTTTAGGTAAGCTACCGGAAAATATCTTATCCAGTTAATAGAATATTTAATTATTTTTCGAAACCCGTTTGAAAGGTCTTAAGTGCATAGATAGAGAATGTGGATGGAAAATCTTTAGAAAAGTCCATTTACATAGATTACCACTATAAATAGGTCTTTCCTTTTAAAGAAAACCTTAAAGCGAATACTTTTTAAAAGGGATTTCAAAAATATTGCCCAATTTTAGGCGAGATCACAGTAAAAATATGATTCGATCATAGATTGTACAATAATATACAATTTTCTATCGAATTTTCAATTTTTTTAGTCTGGTTAAAGAATATATTTATGCGAATAAAATGTAAATTACGAGGTCTGTTTTGAAAGGAGGGCATTGGTAAAAACTTTACAACAAATACTATGCATGCCATATATGAACAAAAAATTACAGTATACTTTTAGGGGACACCATAAAAACATATAATCTAAACCGCTTAAAGCACTTTTGCAATATTTTTTTTAACAATTTCAAAATATCATGCATTTTGAAAAATTGTTATTTTGAGACTGCCAAGGATGTTATCGTTATATTTTACGAATACTTAATAATAATAAACAATGTTTTTTATAGTATTGCTATAAATATATATATTTTTTTACTTTTTAAGAAAATTTTCTCCAGGACTGTTTTTTTTTTCCGAAGACATTGATTTTGTATTTTTATACCCTCCACCATTCTATGGAGGGTATATTAACTTTGTCATTCCGTTTTTAACTCCTCGAAATATTGATAATAGATCCTACAAAGTATATATATTCTGGATCAGCGTAAAATTCCAAGACGATCTATCGATGTCGGTCTGTCTGTTGTATTCGTGCTATCTTTCGAACAAATTGAGATAGAAG